CGAATAAAAGCTTGACCGAATCACCTGAATGTGTGACGTCACCAATCATCACTTGATACGAGTGCACTTAGGCCCCACGGCCGCGGTGTATCATGTTCCGTGAAATATCACCGGGTATCGTGACGTCAGTGATATTCGACTAAATATTGGTCGCAACAGGTCAAGGTTCATTTTTAGCTTCGTACCTGTCTACTGCAAGCACTGGCGTGATGAATAAAAGCTACCAAATCACGTGAGTGTGTGACGTCACTGGTCATGCATTTTTATTGATCTTTGGGGGCCAACTGAGGGCCGTAAAGCATAACCTAATGATGTGACGTCACTGGCATTCGACTGTGTGTGATGTCACTTGTGATCAGATTTTACGGCCTCTTTTGGGCCGACGAAAGGTCATACGACATTAACTGAAGATGTGCCGTCACTGGTATCCGAATACAATTCAGGCGGCCATGGCCATGCTCCATCTTTACCTTTGGTACCTGTCCATTGCAAGTATTTGAATGCTGAAGGAAGGGTTTGCCGAATTACCTGAGTGTGTAACGTCACTAACCATTAATTTGTATAGACTGTTTTGAACCCACTGTAAGCCATACCACATCAGCTGACCATATGACGTCACCGGTTTTCGTCTAGGTGTCATGCGCAACAGGCCATGCTCTATCTTTGCCTTTCGTACCTGTTTACTGCAAGCATTCGCGTGCTATATCAAGGTGATGCTGAACCATCTGAGTGCGTGACGTCACTGGTCATGAGTTTATACAGGTTCACTTGGGCAGCCCAATGCAACAAAGCATCATATCCTGTAAAGCATCGCGGGATGATATGACGTCACTGGTATTCGACTCAACATCAGGCGCAACAGGCGATGTTCCATCTTTACCTTTCGTACCTGTCTACTGCAAGCATTCGCGTGTTATATCACGTCATTGGTTAAGAGTTCTTACGGGCTCTTTTCAACCCCCTATATGGTATAATGCTTCAGTTGACGATATGATGTCACTGGTGTTCGACTTAACATCAGGCACAACATGTCATTTTCCATCTTTGCGTTTCGCACCTGTTAAAGTATTGGCGAGCCTAATGATGGCTCTGCCAAATCACCTGAGTGCGTCATCATGAGTTTTACAGGCTATTGTTGGCCGAGTGAAAGCCATTAGGCATCATCTAACGATATGTCGTCACTGGTAATCCACTAAGTGTGTGACGCCATTGGTCATGAGTTTTCCCGCGCCTTTTTGGGCCGACTTAAGGCCATTTGGCATCAGGTAACGATATGACGTCACTGGTATTCAATTAAGCATCAGATACAATATGTCATGTTTCATCTTTACCTTCCGCACCTATCTACTGCAAGTATTCGCGCGCCACATAAAGGCTCTGCCCAATCACCTGAGCGTGTGGTGTGACTGGTTATGAGTTTACGCGGGTTTACCTCGGGCTGACTGAAGGACATCAAGCATCATCTGGCGATGTGACGTCACTGGTATTCAACTTAACACCAGGCGCGACAGGCCATGTTCGTCTTTACCTTTCGTACCTGTCTATTGTAAGCATTGACATGCTTAAGGAAAGCTCTGTGAAATCTCCTGAGTGTGTAATGCCACTGGTCATGAGTTCTTTACGGGCTGCTTTTTTGTACCTATAGGGTACAAGACATCAGTTGACGATATGACATCACTGGTATTTGACTTAATCTCAGGCGCAACAGGCCATGTTCCATCTTTGCCTTTCGCACCTCTATACTGCAAGTATTCGCGCGCTACATAAAGGCCCTGCCGAATCACCTGAGCATGTGGTGTAACTGGTCATGAGTTTACGCGAGCTTACTCGGGCTGACTGAAGGACATCAAGCATCACCTGACCATATGACGTCACTGATATTCGGGCTGTGGCCCAGACTTATGGCCGCTAGGCGGCGCCCTTGATTATTATTTAGCCATCAGGGCATTCCGGACCGTAGCTGCTCAGGGGCGCATTCTGTGATGTCGGGCGGAATAGCTTTGCATATACGTCGGTTTGTGGGCTGGGATCACCTTTGTTTTGTGTTTACTTTTGTTCAAAATTTTAGTCGTTGAAACAGCCCGTTGCGTTTGAAGTTGTTACTTAATGGTGCGCACAATAAAATGAGTGTGCTTAACTATGGTGCATCTCCCACCTCTGCTGCGGAACTCCGTAGCCGTAGGTGGCCAAGTGACCTCCTACCAACTGATGATCAGTGACGTCACATACTCAGGTGATTCGGCGGAGCCTTCATATAGCACGCGAATATTTGCAGCAGCCAGGTACGAAAGGCAAATATGGAGCATGACCTGTTGCGCCTGATGTTTAGTCGAGCACCAGTAACGTCATGTCGTCAGCTGATGCATTTTAACCCAAAATGGGTTCAAAGGAGCCCGTAAAAAACTCGTGACCAGTGACGTCACACACTCAGGAGATTCGACGGAGCCTTCATTCAGCACGTCAATACCTTTAATAAACAAGTACAAAAGGTAAAGAAAGTACGTGGCATGTTGGACCTGATGTTAAGTCGAATAACAGTGACGACGTATCATCCTGTGATGCTTCACGGGAGGTGTTGCTTTGTGGCCTTGGGCGGCCCAAGTGAATCCGTATGAACTCATGACCAGCGACGTCACCCACTCAGATGATTCGTCTGGAGTTTAGTCGATTACCAGTGACGTCATGTCGTCAGCTGATGCTTGATGTCCGTCAGTCAGCCCGAGTAAACCTGCACAAACTCATGGCCAGTTACACCACACGCTCAGGCGAATCGACAGAGCCTTTTTGTAGCGCACGAATACTTGCAGTAGGCAGGTGCGAAAGGTAAAGATGAAACATGGCTTATTGCAACTGATTCGAATACAAGTGACGCCATAACGTTATCTGATGCCTAATGACCTGAACTCGGCCAAAAAAGGCCCGTAAAAGCTCATGACCAGTGACGTCACACACTCAGTGGATTACCAGTGACGTCATTTCGTTAGCTGATGCCTTATGGCTTTCGCTCAGCCAAAAATAGTTGGTAAAAATAATGACCAGGTGACGTCGCACACTCAGGTGACTCGGCAGAGCCATCATTTAACGCACCAATACTTTACAGGTACGAAAGGCAAAGATGGAACATGACCTGTTACGCCTCATGTTAAGTCGAACACCATTGACATCATGTCGCCAACTGATGCATTTTTCCCTATAGAGGGTTCCAAGGAGCCAGAAAAAACTCATAACCAGTAACGTTACACACCCAGGAGACTCGACAGAGCCTTCATTCAGCACGTCAATACTTGTAATAGACGGGTACGAAAGGTAAAGATAGAACATGGCCTGTCGCGCCTGATGTTAAGTCGGACACCAGTGGCGTCATATCATCAGCTGATGCATTATACCGTTTTGGGGTACAAAAGGTCCCGTAAAAAGCTCTTGACCAGTGACGTTACTTACTCAGGAGACTCGACAGAGCCTTCATTCAGCACGCCCATACTTCCAAGAGACAGGTACGAAAGGTAAAGATGGAACATGGCCTGTCGCGCCTGGAGTTTAGTCGAATACCAGTGACGTCATATCGTCAGCTGATGCTTGATGTCCTTCATTCAGCCAGAGTAAACCCGCGTTAACTCATAACTAGTTACCCCACACGCTCAGGTAATTCGGCAGAGCCCCTGTGTCGCGCGAATACTTGCAGTAAATAGGTGCGAAAGGTACAGACGAAACATGGCTTAGATGGAGCATGGCCTGTTGCGCATGATGTCTAGTCGAAACCCAGTGACATCATATCGTCAGCTGATGCCTTGTGGCCTGTAGTAGGCTCAAAAGAGTGTGCAAATTAATGGTCAGTGACGTACACACTCAGGTAATTTGGCAGAGCCTTCCACGGCAATGCTTGCAATGGACAGGTACCAAAGATAAAGGTGGAACATGGTCTGTCGCGCCCGAAGTTCATTCGAATACCAGTGGCGTCACATTTTCAGTCATTGCCGTATGACCTTTCGTCGGCCCAAAAGAGGCCGTAAAAACTCATGACCAGCGACACGCACAGTCGAGTGCCAGCGACGTCACATCGTTAGCTGATGCTTTATGGTCTTTGGTTGGCCGCACAAAAAATCCGCCAATACTTGCAGCAGACATGTACGAAAGGTATAAATGGAGCATGACCTGTTGCCTGAAGTTCAGCCAAATACCAGTGACGTCATATCGCCAGCTGATGCCTAACGGCATTTCGTCGGTCCTATAGGGCCCGTGGAAACCCACGGCCATTGACGTCTTACAGTCGTATAGCAGTGACGTCGCTAGCTGACACCTTGTGGTCTTCAGTTGGCCGAAAAGCACCGTTGGAACTCATGGCCAGTGATGTCACACACTCAGGTGGTTCGGCAGCTTTCATCCAGCACGCCAATGCTTGCTGTAGCTAAGTACAAAGGTAAAAATGAAGCGCGGCCTGTTGCGCCCAGTATTTATTCGAATACCAGTGACGTCACGCTATCCGGTGATACTTCGCGGACCACGACACACCGTGGTCGTGGGGCCTAAGTGCACTCGTATGAAGTGATGATTAGGGACGTCACACATTGGGGTAATTCGGTCAAACCTTTATGCGGCACGCAAATGCTTGCAGCAGACAGGTACGAAAAGTAAAGATGGAACGAGGCCGGCCGCGCCTGATGTTCAATCGAATACCAGTGACGACACATGGCCAGCTGATGCATTACGGCATTCAGTGGACCCAAAAGAGCCTTACACACTCACGACCAGTGACGTCACATACCCAGCCGAATACCAGTGACATCATATCACAAGCAAAAGCCTTATGGCTTTCAGTCGGCCCGGATGAACCCCGATCCCGATCGATGCAAAACCATTTTCAGTGACGTCACAATGTTAGCTGATGCCTCACAGCTTTTGCCCCGCACGACAATACTCGAAACCCTGCAGCTGGCGTAGCTCTTCCCTCCGTCGGCCATCCAGGTACCCAAGTAAAAAATTACCGCCTCTAGTATATTACATTGTGGGGCTTTGTGTTGGAAAGTTATTGGTTGGATAGAAACGTGCGAGAGGTGCGATTGGGAATGTTTCTCCACTGTCGGTGTTAATTCAAATCAGTCGCCCTGTGATCACGTGAAGGATTAATGACTCATGAGTGCTAGATGATTCTACAAAAGTGTCTCACAAGTAGGTATCTGGTATGTGGGAAGGGTATGTTAAGATCAAAGTCAAGATATAGTTTTCTTTCAGTTTACAGAAGTTAAGGCTTGGTGGTACCCAGCAAAATGACCTTAGTAGTAGGTACCCTAAATCCACAATTGCTGTCATTGCTGATGCCCTACAGTTGACTTTCCAAGTACTTGCTGTTCACTGCACATGGCTCATTCATGATGCCATGGCCCAGACTGTGATGTTGTACTGATGCATCTGGTGGTCTTCTGTGCCATTGAGTCTGCTGTTGAGGTTTTGACTATATATTATTTTTGTTTCAGGCTCATTTTGCAGGATTTAAACTGCTGAGGCAGGACACTACCCAAGTGGTGACCTCAATATGGAGACGGTACGTCGTGCGCTGTTATTTGTTGCTGCTTTCCAATAATGAATATTTTGGATGTCATGTAGAGATGGCAACTTTGCCAACCTTTTACGCTCAAGCTTTATCTGAAATTTCATTTGACTTGGCATGTACAAACTGTCTATGTGTGTGTCAATTCTATTCACCTGGAAAAGTTTTCACATGATCTGACCTGACCACTTGTGTGTCAGCCCCATGAGTTCTTAGAAATGCAATTAAGCTGCAAAACAGATTATGATGCATTGAGAGGCCTCCAATATTCCAGTTAACTGTACTAAATTGATATACATGTTCTAGTATAGTGACCAGCTTGGAATACTGACCTGGCTTTCAGTAGCTTCCATACTTTATAACTTTTGATACCCTACCAAAAGCTGAGAGTTAATGCAGTTTTCATGTGTTACACTGGTAGCACTTTCAAAAAGCAACGAAGATTTCCTGATTTCCCAGGCCACAGGGTTTTCTATATGTGACAAAAAGTGTAATGCGTGAGATCAGTGAGTAGTTATAGCAGGTAATTAGGAAATATATTTTAATCTGTCAAGCTGCAGCTGTTTCCAAAGTGCAAATTCAGCTGCTGCAAACCTCATACATGCATGGTATTTATATTTGCATCTCAGATATACAGCATAGCCATAGTGACCTTTGTTTCAAGAGTTTCCTGTACAATTATCACTGTGAGATGAAAAGCAGTGAAATGTTTGTTGGTGTCAGTGTGTAATCATGTGTTTGTAGACTTTGAATTGTTTAAAAACAATCATGGTAATGTCAGTGCTGACATCTGTCATGGGTTGTGGTGCTGTGCTGACTGTAATGCACACTGTTTCAGAGGCACAGGAGGGGATCAAGGCTAGCTCAGTCAACACCCAACTTTATTGACCTGACCTGTGACATTGACTCTGATGGCTCTGAAGATGATGTCCTTTTTGTTGGGGAGGAACTACCTGTTGTTCAAACTGTAAGTATAGGACATGCTTGTTTTGGCTGCTTTACTTTTCCATGCCATTTACCTTGCTACTTTACCTTGCCCTGGTTCATAGGCTGTTGATACAACATGGAACACCATCAATAACTTGGCTTGCCCCTTGTACCTAAAATTATTTTTGGTAATGTGAGCAAGGAACAGCTAAGGTACCTGACAGGAAAAGTGTCAAAAGACCTTGGCCATTTAATTTGATGACTTTTCCACTGTCCCACTGTATATCAATTTTTTGCACTTTATAATGGCTTATGGAAAGTTAAATTCATTGAAGCTTTTGATGGTGTTTTGTTACAAAAGCCTTTGGTCTTCTACAAAAACTAGTCCTGTTTAAAATAAATTAATAAGATACCTTAAATAAATCAAATACTTTGCTTCTGCTTACCACTTATCTGCAGTTAATTGCATATATGTAGGTTCTTATGGAATGACTCAAGCTTGGCTAACACAATTGTGTGAAAACTAATTGCAAGCCTGCTAGGAGCTTGTTTATAGTACTTACGACACTCGATGTTTTTATCCAGGTTGATACTGTTTCTTGATATACAGTGATAGCAGTGGTTGGGGGGCACCTTATTGCACTGTGTATGCATAATTTGCTTGTGCGGCTCTTGCATGCTGATGACGCAGTGTTTTAGCAAAACCAAAGGTGGAACATACTATCACTATTAAATAAACCTTTTGAACATTACAACTTGGTATGCAAGTTCATATGTTATTTTATTTACTGAGCTATTTCCTGAAGTACCATTTTCAGCTGTAACCAGTGACAATGTTATTTACCTTTCAGTCCACCCATCCCAGTGTGTACAATCACATGTGTTGTTAAATCAATCTGCTGTTGTGATGGCAACTTCTTTATACATGCGATTTTCTTGTGATATATGAGGCATTTGCCGCTGGGCAACAGCCAACAGGGGTCATGGAGATGCTGGCGGACCAGCCCGATCCGCAACAGATCACAGCCGCGCCGGCCGCCACCACCGACCATCCTCGCAACGTGGCCGAAGCCGAACTGGAGCGCGATATCTGCGCCCTTACCGTCGAGCTGGACGAGCTGCAAGTGCACGTGAGCGCACAGGACGCTCGGGCGCTGCGGCCCAGCGTGGCGCGGCGCCTGCGCCAGCTACGGCGCGCCTACGACGAGCTGGTGGTTCGCGTGGCGGCGCTGCCGGGCGGCCGCCGGCGCCGCTTCCAGCCGTTTTCTGCGGCCGATTTGCGCCGACCTGGACGCCGTGTACCTGATGCAGGTGGTGGCGCAGCACGAGGGTACCGTGCTCGCGGCCGCCGCGCGGCGCGACGCCGGCGGCTCGCGACGCGGCACCGGCTTCGCGCGGACGAGACGCCGCACTAGCGGCGCCGGCCGAAGGGGTGCCGGGGCCCGAGCGGAGCCGGTACCCCCTGACGCCGCCGCTGGAATGGAGACGGCGTCCCCAGACGCCGCCGCTGGAACGGAGACGGCGCCCCCAGGGACCGCGGCTGGAACGGAGCCGGTGCCCTCAGACGCGGTGGCCGCAGCGGAGCCGAAGCAGACTGGCACTCGTGACAAGAGGACCAGTGACGGTGGGTGCGAGTGGGGCTCCGCTGGGAGGACGGCGCGAGATAGTTATTCGTCGGAAAGGCTTGAGGCTGTTGCTCATGCCAACGCACTGATGTGAGATTGATGTTGCGGTCAAAGAGTGAGCACTAAATGCATTAGAAATGACATTGACGCTCTTGGTAGTAGAATTCCATTTTTCGGACTGTGAAAATAATGTGGGCTGGTTTTCCAGGCATGAAATTGACCTGAGCTACATGAGTTTAAGAAGAAAATATGACACTTGATAAGTTTACGACTTGATGGTGAATTCGCTATTGGACTTGGCAACGTATGAATACGCCGATGATGTATGTATTTGTCTTTCCAAGAACTAATGATACCACTGATCACTGCATGGCGCGCTCAAAGTAGGTTGTGTTAGGAATATGACCCTACCTGAACACATGACACCCCCTGAAACGCCTGCGGTGCAAGATAATGTAATCCGAAATCATTGAACCCGTGCCTGCACGTTGGAATCCTTGCGACACGGTGCGTGGTTATCGGGCTGCGGTAGCGGTGCCGTTAAAGCTCGCATTAATCAGAAGTAAAGCGGGACAAGGGATTGGTATCAGATCAGGCGCTCCGTGCCACCTAGACCGTGGTCACCTTTCAACAAAAATACCGTGCAGCCAAACGGGCACGTTATTTTGTGGCCAGCCTGACTCTACGGTGCCTTCTGTGTGAAGTTCGTGCCGCCCTCTTTGTATTAGGATAGACGGCCCGCGCGGGCGGTTGTGTGACGCCGCATCTCTGCCTCAGGCCTGTGCTGTCCCGTCTGCCTGGAGTCGGTGACGAGCTTGAAGGCGCAACAGCGCGGCTTCCTGGTGACCCGCTGCGGACACTGGTTCTGCGCGCCGTGCTTGAAGGGCTCGATCCGCCGCAGCCGCGAGTGTCCCGTCTGCCGCTCCAGGCTGCCTCAGCGCACCGCCTACAACAGCCTGTATCTGTGACCTGCACCTCTCGGCGCAAACACCCGCCTAGCCCTCACGCGTGAACGGGGTGCGCCTCAGCTGGCCATTCTGCTATTCTGGGCGGCGCCAGATGGAGGCTACCACGGCAGTCTCAGGTGTGAATGACTCGTTTTGCTCAGTGATAATGCGGTGAAGTCTCGTTCTTTGCTGGTGCTCTGGTTTTCCTTTTCAACGATTGTTCTGCGGCGTGGATCGCAGAGGGCATCAGGTTTCACACTGACCTTTACTGAAACCGAAATAAGAAGCTTGGCAGGCCGCGTGACAGCGGGTGCACACCTTTGTTAAAAGGCACTGTACGTTTGGGAATGCTCTCTAATCGCGGGTTGACGTTTCGCCATGATCTCCGATTTACATCACAGTATTCCGAAAGTGCGGACAACCGTTTGGGATAGCTTAATTTAGAAGGTGAGGCGCTGGTCGGCCATAAGAGACAGGAATGAACCGGAAGTTAAAACTGGAAATACCAGGTGGTTATGATTGGTGAACTTTGCATGCCTGCCACATGCTCTTTTCGATCCCTTTGTGGCGATGGGGCACGTGAGCCGCAGTGGTGGCTTTCCTGCGATGTATGCGTTGATATTCCTGCCTAGTGTGCTGCCTAGCTCACTGGCGGTGCGTGCGGTGAGTTGCAGTGTTGTCTGAGACGATGAATGCTTGTCCCGTTATGTTGGATTAGGTAATACACGATTTTACTATAACAATATTGTGAATACACACATTGTTCTTTGAAGGGAAATATCACGTGCTGCTCTGTCTCCTCGATAGATGCGTTTCGTACTTTGTTGGTATGCGTCTTTTATATCGTTAAGTGCCGTTGCATTCGAAAGATGATATCGAGAGGCCCATGCTCGACATCTTTTCCGGAATCGATTCTGACTCTGACTCGTGGCGCATGGGTTTTGTTTCAATTCTGACTTCTGAACAGTATGGCACAGGCTAGGGCTTACTTTGGATTCGGACTCGCGGGGATGCAGCTGATTTTGGGAGTCGATCCCGTCGACAGTGCTTCGCCACGCTAACTGCGTCGTGGTATTCATATAGGCCTGAGAAGCAAATGAAAGCGGTTGACAAGACAGTGCGCAATGCAATAACTTACGTTCCACTTCTCACACACGCGTGGGAGCCGTTCAAACAACCTACCATGTGCCACTTGAATTTAGATGTAAGTCGACAGTCAATTCAATGCCGCCGTGGCCAAGGAGTGCCACCGTGCTTGGGCTGGCTTCTCCGACGTCGAACCCGCCAGAGGAGTCCTGAGGCGTCCAGTGTGCGGGCGTGGGCACGCCGGTTTGTGCTTCCCTGACCAGCCTGTCGTATGAGATACCCTCAGCTCCAGGACCTTGTCAATAAACTTCGGCATGGTCTCGCGGGCGTTGAGCGTCGGAAGAGAGGCCCCTTGTAGTATCGGTGGGGCGCATCGGCCAGCAAGTGACGCATGCTGGCCGCAAAGTTATCCCTGGCTTCCAAACGATCGGACAGCGCTGAGGCGACGTAACCGTGCCGCTGTGCCATCGCTCTGCTGACATGCCTCGCCACCCGGTCCCTGTGGACGTTTCCGTCTCTTGTGTTCTTCAACCGTCAGGAAGTGGAACGTACCAGTTCTGGCGACAGCCAAGTGTGGTGCCGCCACAAATGGCAGATCCAGGATGGTGCCTGGTTGGAGCATCGCAGTTTGTGGGCTGCATGCGAAAGTGCGTCCCGATTTTAAAAAAGAGACATCGGGTTTCACTCTTTTTACCTCAACGAGCGTTTTGGCACCAACTTCTCCCAGAAAAACAGCTTAGATTTGCTCCAGGATCTAGATTTGCGCCATTCTTACTGGCTTGGGCTCTTGAAGGGGTCATGCCCCGGTTGCCTTTCCCCTTGGAGCCGCCCTTGTGCCGCCACAAAACGCGGTTGGTGGAATCGCGAGGCGGACTGCAGGCGATAAACCGAAGCCTGAGGTAGCTTGCCAGGTTCTGCTCTCTTCCAGCCCACTTGACCTTCAGCAGTCGATGAGCCCCCCCCCCCTCCCGACACGCGATAACGTTCTCCACCTGAAGCCCCTGGGCGGAGGTCAATCCCTGCTCATCCATCTTGCTCGGTTGGGCTTTGACTGGCTCTGGCCTTCTCACGAGCCACGTGCGGCTGATGCTCGTGGATGAACATCTTGGCCAGCGATAAAACCATGCGTAGTCCCTGTGTCAAACCAATTTTGCCGCCGAGCTCACCACTGAGTGTGAGTAAGCGGCACCAATCTAATAGTTCTGTGCATAGCTGTAGTGACATTTGGGATGTAGCTTCACAAAACAGGTTCTGGGAGGCCCGTTGCTTGGATTGATCATCTACGTGTCGCAAAATGCGGTTCCCGTCTGATGCTTCCTTGTGTGAAAAAAAAATACTGTATTTATCGTTGCAGAAGCCGTCGGTAACTTTTTCATAGCAGTTTTGACGCCCGAATCCTTCTCAGCGAAGTGGCGCAGTTCCGATGAACCAGATTATGTCCGCTTTCTTTTACACTGATGGATCTGGTCACGGTGACCAGGTTGGTGCAGCAGCCGTTGGTCCTCACTTTCGATTCACCGGACGCTTTCCAGACTTCAGCACGATGTTCTCTGCGGAAGTATACGCTATAAATCGAGTGCTGTTGCATATCGGAGTCAGACGTATTCCTCAGACTACGATATGCACATACTCCAAGGCGTCGCTGCAGGCCCTGCAGAGGCTCGGTGATTTCAACCCCCGCCGGAGCGTATGACATCCATAATATAATGCCTTCCCTACCTACTGACCGACGTGTGACCTTTCTGTGGATACTGGGACATTGTGGCATCGCGGGAAATGTCTTCGCTGACACTCTTGCAAACGAAGGTGTCCGTCTACCAACGCCTCTGGAAGTGTCTCTGGCACTAGATGTTCTTCATTTAACTGAAGTCCGTTTCGCCCGGTATTTGCAGAATCAGTGGGATGCCTCGCATGCTACTACATGTATCGAATCAAACTCACACTCCAGCCATGAGCGGCGTGTCATCAGGAGAACAGGCAGAGATGTGTGTTTGAGATGTGGCCACACTTGTCTCATCCACAAGCATCTATTCAGTCGCTCTGCACCATCGGTCAGCGGGACTTGGCGCTGCTCTTACTCCGGAACGTCGCAATGTCACGAGTCACTTGTAGCACACCGCCTCCCCCACACCGTCCGAACGCTGCCAGGCGACAACGATCCTGCCTTAACCGACCTTGTCCTGGACTTCGCGATTGAATCGTCATTGGGTACGAAGATCTGATGGGATCTGAGTCTCCACTTTAGCCCTGTGGTACGCACGAATAATGCCGGGAGAAGGCAACGGCCCGGCACCCAACGTAACCAAACTTTTACTCACGGTTTTTCCCGCATGTATGCAATAAATTGTTTTCTTTAATGGCGGTCCTTGTTGACCATATTTTCCGTATTGCCTAGTCTATTAAAGCAAAATTGCATATGTGTGGTTTTCCCGTGCTTCCCCTCTCTAACGTGGCCATCGGACTTATTTAGGAAGAGCCGGATTTTGTGCAGGATTAGTTAGGGAGCCCCACTTTCTTTTCTTGGCAAACAGCGTAAGTTGAAGCCACTAAACAAAAAATGTGGAGAACGCGTGTGGGGTGTAGAGTGTGTGTATGGATCTTCCTTTGCGGTGGTGATAGGTGTTAAACAAACCAATATTGCAATGCAGTAAAAAGTTATATTGCAATAGTTAATGGGTGGTCCTACAGGAATGAGAGGAAGCGATAAAGCTAATCTTGAGCAGATAGGTATATATATATATATATATATATATATATATATATATATATATATATATATATATATGTATCAACATTTCAAAAAATGGGGCATGCGCAGTACTTCATGAATTTTCTGGAAAGCAAGTCGGATCACCGGGGGGGGGGGGGGGGGCGGGGGGTAGAGATGGAGGTTGTTTTTTGCTTTTATTCAAATGTCACGGCTGTATGCTAGACATTATGCATCTAGAGCTGTTTCTCACGGGTGCTCAATCTTGCCTATTCGACTCATTTATGTCACTCGGCAAATAAGACTCTAACTTCCCAAGATCATTTGTCCATTTTAATATTGTCATTCCTGGGGAGACGAAATCCCACGAGCGGGTAAGTATTTTGGGGCATTGAAGATGCATCTGCATGCACAGGGTAGATGCCAGAATACGGCCTGGACATACGCTGGTTAAAATTTTGAAAGTGAATCAGCAATAATATGGCAATGTGTACAAGGGTGAGACACAAATGGCAAATTGCATAATGTGTACAAGGGTGAGACACAAATGGCAAACTGCACAATGTGTACAAGGTGTGTACAAGGGTGTACAAGGGATTCAACTGTAAAGCAAACAGGCTGCTGGGTCTTCTCATGCAAAGCGTGCAAATGCCGTCCTGCCCTCGTCCAGCGTGGTTCAATCGCAAGGCTTTGCTCTGTGGCTTCGACGCACATGTGAGATCATTGATAGAGTACGGCAGCGTTAGTTAGAGCGGTGCTGCCGATTCTCATCTCGCCCGGTTCGAAAGACTTCACTGCTTTCTGACAGTGATGAAGGTTTTTGCAGTGATCAGTCCAGTAGGCTCCGAGATCTGAGTTGTCTGCATTTGCATGTAAAAGTTTCAGTTCGCGTTTCCGTAACCATCATGGCATTGAACAGCCCCTGCCACCGGCTGCAGATCATCTAGGTCAGAAGTCCAATAGCGAGCGCGCATGGACGGCAGCCAAGAAAAAATGCAGGGGCTCTCTCCTACCCTACCACCACCCCCGCGTGATGGGTTCTCACTAAACAGTGTCCCTACCTCTCCCTAGTTTGATTATCCTGGCGACAACTTAAATCAGCATACCGCCACGGGTGAATGGGATCGCCAGGACCTGACACCAATCATAGCTAGGAAGGGCATGACCTGTGCTTTTGGTTACGATTCGATTTATTTTGGTGATTGCTCATGATCTTTTACATGCAATCGGATGTTTTAGCTCTGATGTCTGGTCGGCTTACAATACCAGATTTTGCTTGGCGCAATTGGTTATGTATCAGCCCTTCTGATAATAAATTGGTCGGTTCGGGTTTCTGATTCAGATGAAGGCCAGGGTGTGTATTTTAATGGTGAAAATGGTCATTCTGGTCATCCCATATCTTGTCTCATAACTGAAAAATATGGAAGGGTCTAAAAACCGGCACATAATGCAGACACACAAGTTCTCCGAAACGGCTCGTCCGATCGCCTTGCGACCTTCACCAACCGATTGCGTGCAATGAGGTGAGTCGTGAGGATGCGATATCGAGACCTGACCTCCACCGCGGGGCATCGTCCGGCCCCCATTCTGGCGAAATGGGGCGGGACCCCCTGGCCGATCTGGAGGCCCTCAGAGGGATACATCTTATCACATTGATCCCCTCCCTGATGCGGGAGGCCTCCTGACCCGCGCAGACCGCACTTGACCCAAGTTCGACGCAGGAACCCTCACTGACGCAACAACATTCCTGATCCCCGCAGGTAATCCAATAATTGGCACGTAGTTCCCAGCTTGGCTTAACGGGCGTCATGCGGGAGTTGGGTTGGAGGGCCTACCGTTCGGTATTGGTGACCCTGACTGGCACGGGTCCCTTCTGTTGCCTCAATGTGAACAATGATCATGAGCTGTCATGTTTTTTTGCATTATCAGAGGGCCCCGACAAACGCAAGATGCATCTGCCATTCAGGGTCCCGTCTCCATTTCTGTTGAGCACATCGTTCTCTGACCGACTCGAGGCCCCCTGTTGACACAGAATACCTTGTTCGGCACTGTTGGCCACTGAATGATACAGGAGCCCGGCACTGCTGCAGGGGCCCCGACCAATGCGAATCGCGGCAAGGCC